CTACCAACCCAATGCAAATGTTTGTATAGTACTTCTTGTTTTATTATCTCCCTAAGGTGACACACACCATGATAAACTATGACTGACCCCTCTTAATATTATTCGTTACTGGTAATTTTCCTCTTTGTAGGAGTTTCCTCTATGTATCTTACAGATACGCCCAAAGATTCAGAAAAAACACCCTTAGTGCACGGTGCCCAAAGTAATGTGAGAGGTTTAAAATCATTTAGCATGATTTTAACGTCAGTTAATGAAGGGTACAGTTACAAATAATGTGAAAATAAAAATGTTTCTTCTAGGGGATCTCTTTATTGGACTCCTGATTCAAGTCCATATTTCATTGGGATCGCATGGTTTTGAAAACTCCTAAGACATACACCCGTCATCCATTTGTAGAACTTGTGACAGATACCTTTTCTACTCCCCGTCCCTCAGAAGGGTGAGTTAAGTTTGAACCAGAACCTTTTCAGTTAAAGCTACCAATTATTTTAGGGCTGTTTCTTCTTCCACCTTTTACAGCAATGCTTATTGTGGAAGCAAAAGACCACTCTGACTGTGGTGGCAACATTTATCCCTGGGATAACTCCAGTGAAGTTACTATACTACTGCAGGGATGAATGTGGTCCTGAGTTCTTAGCTAAGGCTTCATTCCTGCTCCTGTCGAAGTCAATGTCAAAACCCCAAACTACTTTAGTAGTACAGAATACATCATGGACATTACTACTGAGATTGAAAGCCTATTAAATTAGCAAAAATATGGCCTGATTCTGACAGGTGCTGTGCATCTTCAACTCCTATTGACTTCAATAGGACTGGCAGGCACTCTGCACCTCTGAAAATCATGTGTAGTTTGCGGAAGCACAAAACTACTTTGCAAATACTCCAGTGCAGCAAGGAAAAAAGGTCTTAAAAGGCTGGTTTTTTTAAAAAAAAAGTGATACTGAAAATCTGGATGTGAGACTACATTTACTAATTGGCAAAGGAGTATCGTCTAGTAAAGCAACTTTAATTTGGTCAAAGATGGCGAAAATTCTGCTTCATCTAATTTTGTCTTCAAGATTATTTTTAAAATATGCTATTTCCATTTAGAGAAAATATGCAGAAAACATAGTTGTTCCCCTCAAAAAGTTAGTTTTGATTTTGACATGGAAGGTAGCAGTCTTTCTAGTTGTGTTTGGTACATTTTCTCAGGCTAGTCTCTAATTCTGTGTATTAGGCTTTAAACATGTATGAATCCAAAGGGGTTTTTAATCTCGTCTTTGCTGTGAAATTAGGTTATACATGATTAAATATGACTGCTCATCATAGTTTGCTGTTCTAGCATAGCCATAAAATGTGTTGACGTATGTGTATATATATATATAAATATATATTTGATAACAGACACTTTAGGCAATATATAAACAGCCATGTCAAAACTTAAAAGATAGATGACATCTAAAGTTGCAGTATAATCAGACTTGAAAAATACTTTACAAGTACACAATGGCCTCTGCACAGATCTTTATCAATACTCTGAAAGCCACCTCTTTAGAAAGTTGCCAGCTAATACTTGTGTTTTGGCACTGCTTCCTTTCTCCTTAGAGATACATTTGACTATTGAGAACTACCTGTATCTAAATCACCTTTCTTCCCATATAAAAGTGGCCCTTGGGTGTTGTACCTTTAAGTTGTGCCATTCAGTGATTCTGAACATTGAAAAATGTGCGGGTGTAATACTGCAAACAGCAAGTGAGATCCAACATTTCTGAGAGACAGAACATTTCACAGCTGGCACAGTTATTTTCCTCTTGGGACTGCCTCACCATTTCAAATTACTTTTCTTCATGTAATATGCCTCGCACACATGTTCCAAATGTATTTTGGTTTCTCTCAAGTTATAGCAGTGTTGTGGAAATAACTGTGAAATAGAAAGTTTAAAATACTGAGCTTCAATCCCAAGAAGAACGTGGGAACCTACGTACTTTACATCAGAGGTGAAATAGTTCATATTTACTTGAAGGTGGTATTATTTTCCTTATTTTTAAATCTACTATTATGAAGATATGATGTTACATGTAAATTTTCATGTGCTGGCATGCCTACAAATTAATAGTGTAATAGACTGCTCAGCTCTCAAAACTAGGGCATTTTTAAGGTGAATTGCATTACATATGCCATCTATTTGAAGAACGAATATGGGGTTTGGCAAAGCTACCTGCTGAGCAACATAATAAGATTTTTGTACAAAGTACAAGTTACTGATTATTATTGTATTTTATTTTTCTATGATTTCCTAAGAGGCATTATCAGGTCTTACAGATGGGGTAAGCCTGTTTATTAAGATATTTATTAGCAAATAAAAGTTATAGTACTGGTGGTTATTTCTGAGTTCATGCTTTTTGTTTTACCTTAACTTACACATATGATACACAGTAAAACTTCTCATATGTGACGAGGCAAAAAAATCAATTGCTTATCACAGAGTGGTGTACCAATCAAAGTGGATCACACTGTATTCTAATTTTTGGGATGCTTTAGGTAGTCTTTTACAGCAGGAGGGTTCCTAATCAGTGTGGACTCTTATATACATGTCACTGTAGATTCCGTGCTCTGATAAATGTCTTCACAAAATGCACATGCAACTGATAATGTTGTTAAAGAACTATACATACTGTGATAATCCCCAAACTGCAGATCCCTGCAGTCACAAGAATCCGATCCCATATACATAATAACACTGTCTCCTTCAAAAGAAACACTGTTTATCTGAATCAGAACACGTTTTAAATTTGTTATTAAAGCTCTTTAGTTTTGTTCAATCCCCATAAACTGGGTCTCTGAGCATTGGTCTTCACTGAAAAATGCTACTGTACTTGCAACTCCTTCTCTGAAATGGCAGTAAAAACTTGACTTTTCAGTCGCACATGGCGGCAGATTTCTAACACACATTAGTTATTGTTGTTTTATTATTCACGTAATGTGAATTATACATTGTACTTTACAACAGGAAAAAATGCTAAACAAAATACTTAATCCCAGACCCAAAAAGTTTAAAAACTAAAAGTATAAGCAGGCTTTTTCTTCATAATGCCTTAACTGCAGTACAAAACTAAATAGAGAGATGTGGTTAATAGTAGTGGAATGCTGGATTTCTGGAGTTAAAACCTTCAGTCCTTACTTGGGAAAAACTCCCTCAGTAAGGACTGCAAGATTTGGCCTACAAGGCATAAAGTATAAAGTGAGTTTTGCATTTGGTTCTGACTGTAGTGAGACCTTTGGTCATTCATATCACTTGAGTGAGTTCAAGAATCTAGGTTCAGTTCTTGGTTACTGACTAACTTTAATCTGAAAAATAGGAAACAAAAAAATTTCTCTTACACTGAGACTTATTTCACATGCTGAGTAATTTCCATACTGTTGCCAACTCTTGCAGTTTTGTTACAAGATTCATAACAGTTGGTGTTTTTCTTAAAGCCTCAGCTTCTTGAGTCAAGTGATTTTGGGAGAATCTCAGCTTTCATAAAAAGAAAGAAATGTTTAGGCACCACTGAAATACATATACTAAATAATATCCTTCCATTGCTATGTCTAGCACAATCAATCTACGTCCTTCTAGAACTCTATTCACCATAGTAGATAGAGCTTAAATGGTTTAAGACTTCATCCACCATTATGTGCTACAGTTTGTCTTCTTAGGAACTTGGGTTCCCATCATCACATCCCCCAGTGCTCTGCTCTCTGTACTAGGCTCTCTACTGATGAAACAAAAAGAAAAGAAGTACTTGTGGTACCTTAGAGACTAACCAATTTATTTTAGCATTAGTCTCTAAGGTGCCACAAGTACTCCTTTTCTTTTTGCGAATACAGACTAACACGGCTGTTACTCTGATACTGATGAAACAGTTCAACTAAAAGTTCTTCCTTTTACATCCAAAGCCCACTGCTTGGTCCTTCTCCAACCATAAGCTTCCATAACAGCTGTGTGTTCCACTGGAACCATGGAAATTTTGACTAGGGAAGTGAAAATGAGTGTGGGAAAGAACTTTTACAGGTGCCTCCTGTAGACTTTGGAATTCACTCACATCAGAGATTAAAAATGACCACAGCCCTTGCCAGGTTCAGAAATAAATGCACAACTTGTATCATTCATTTCCCTTTCCCTCAGTAATGGCTGAATACTCACACCAGATCCATTTTTCCTGCAGGCCAGGGAAGGGTAGACGGGGTACACCTGCCCTGTTTTTAAACACCTGAAACGTGCTGATATTACAGCTCTATCAGCTATCTGAGCAGCTAGAGTTTTTGCTTTGTTGATCCTCAGTTTAGCCTCTCTGTGTGATCTTGGGTAAATCACGTAATCTCTCTGTGCCTCAGTTTCCACAATAACGATAGCCTTAAAATGGCATATTTGGAGGCAGATTTTGAAACCCCTCCCAGTCAAGTATTGGTTCTGATCTGAGCTGTTGCAGGCTTTTTGGTGCGTGGAGGTGGGGAAGGGAAGGGCTGTCGCCAGCGGCACCATTTCTGAAAAAATCAGGCGATGGCGTGGGGGAAGTTGGCTTTCCCGATGCCCGTGTCCAGAGTCGGGCACGGTGTGGAAGACGTAATGGAGCACAGGGGGCAAACCAAGCTTTGGGAGGGGGGAGCCACTGCCCTCCTTTCCCCAGGCCTGTCTCTCCTGCTTAAGGCGGACGATGAACCTGACACCAGCAGCAGCCCAGGTAGCCCCCGGGCTGGGAGCTGCTGCGGCAGGGCCGGGGTCGCTGGGATGCATCTTGCGCGGCGCGGCTCGCGACCTACAGGCCCCCAGCGCCTCGCCGCACCGGCGGGGAGGGGGGGGGGAATTGGCGGAGGGGGCGGAGCTAACGCCGGACGGGGCGGAGTTGCCGGATGGCGGATCGGAGAAGGGGGCGGAGCTTATGCCGGGCGAGCAGGAGGAGGGGGCGGGGCTACACGTGTGGGGATTGGAAGAGGGTGGAGTAAAGGGGCTTGTGGGAGGAAGGGCGGGGTCGCGTCAGGGTCGCGCGCGCTGGCGGCGTGGTCTCCTAGGCAACGGCGCAGGCGGCGGTTGCTGGTTGGGCGGGGCTCCGGTGGGCTCCAGCAGCGCCCCCCCCGCGAGCGGGTGGCGAGGCCTCGGTGCAGGGCGAGGCGCGGTAGGGGGCTCCCGGCCTAGGGGCGGGGCGGGGCAGGGCAGGGCAGGAGGCTGCTGGGCGCGGCCTGGGCGGGGGGTGGCCCCGTTCCTCCCCCCGGTCAGCCCTTTGCCCGCCCCGGCCGGAGCCGGGTCTGCGAGCCGCAGCCGGTCCCGCGCCGCTTGTTGCGGGGGCCGGTTTCTCCCCCCCCGCCCCCGCGCGGGCAAAGCGCGAACAGAGGGGTCCTGCCCTGGTGCGCTGAGCGGCGCTGGCCTCTGCCCCGGTCCCTGCGCAGGGTGCGGGGCGGGTGCGTTGCCCTCTCCGAGCGACTGCCAGTAAAATTCCTTGTTTTCACACGACTGTCTGAAAATTTTCCTGCTTAGTTTCTTCCTGAAGATTAAGTTAACTGCTGTCATTTCTCTTCCCTTTTTCTCTTTAGCTAAGGGGAGGGCAGGTCGGAGGGTGAAGGGCAGGTGTCTGGGAGCACATTTTTCTGTGTTGTATGTTCTTTGATAAAATTATAAAGTGTTATTTATGGAATGCTGCTAGAAAAAATGGCCTCGGTTTGAAACTGGGTGGGTATAAAGATCTCATTGAGGATTAAAAAGAAAAGGAGTACTTGTGGCACCTTAGAGACTAACCAATTTATTTGAGCATGAGCTTTCGTGAGCTACAGCTCACTGTAGCTCACGAAAGCTCATGCTCAAATAAATTGGTTAGTCTCTAAGGTGCCACAAGTCCTCCTTTTCTTTTTGCGAATACAGACTAACACGGCTGTTACTCTGAAACCTGTCATTGAGGATTGTGTACTTCATGTCCACTTGTTTGCTTTAGCGGGATAGCAAATAAAGTTTTAAGCAGTTCAGAGATTGCTTGAGAATATGCTCACCTGGCATCTAAGACTTTTGAGTCTTCTGAAGCCCCTCTCTCCTTTGTGTCATCACTCTGCATATTTCCTGCCTAGGTGGACCAGTGGGCTTAAGCAAGGATATGGGATCTGCTTCTAAGACATTGATAGTGTCTCTCTCCTTTGTGCCTGGGGCTGTCGCCTTTCACTGCCAGCACCATCAAGTTCCCCCAGCTATTGAGGTATACTGCTAGGACTGTTTCCATGAATTAGCCTGTAAGTGCTTTATTGAAACACACACACACACAACGCTGTCTTTCAAACAAACTGGCTTAATGTTTTGTCCGTATTATTTTTCCTCCCAAAAAATACTAGCTTCCTAGATTTTGGGCACTAACAGCATTTTTTCTGTGCCCTACATATCTTGCAATTGATTGACCTTCTTAAAACAGTAACGTTTTTTCTTTCTCCTTTTGTGAAATTAAAACCTTTGTTAACCCAGCCTTGCAGAAACCTGTCTGCTGCTGTAAAGGCTGGCACCCAGTCCCCACTGTTGGCATTTAAATAATCCTAATCTCATTTTAGAAGTTTATACCTAATATTAAGCAATAGCATGATTATTCTGTTAAACAATAATATTTATAATGAAATAGTTGTTGCCACAATAGAGCAGCCCAGATGAAATCACTAAAAAAAAAAGTGAAGGTCCCAACAGCAATGTTAATTCAGCAGCATTGCATATATGTAGTATATTCTGTACCTGTATTTTCTTGTTCAATATGTTCTTTGATTAATATTCATGTTTATATACTTTACCATTAAATATGCCTGATGTGTGTAATGAGGATGAGTTAATGTTGGTGTTGAAAATTTGATGTGTCACGCTCTTAAAAATACATAAACATACAGTATAACTTCTGTGTTACATTAAAGTCACTATTGTAGGTTTTAGTAAAGTTAAGTTTTCAGTTTTCTAGAACATCAGTGTGTACCTTTATAGTATTTGTGTTCTTTGCTCATTCTATCACCATCGGAGTGACTCTTTTTTTATCATCAAACTATCACAAGTGACCAAGTCAGCTTTGTCATTGTACTTTACTATAGAATTTTCAACAGAAAGTATCTTTCCTCTTTGGCTACTCTTTCAGAATACAGACAAATCTCTTGTGCAGACAACAAAATGGCACGTTTTGGAGAACATGATTCTGGTCAGGTTCATTTTGACAAAGTACAAGCTTTATGGTTGTATCCAGAAATGTAAAAAGCTTTTATTTTATCAAACAGAATCAAAAAGAGCTAGAAGAAAAATGAAAATTAAACAGTTATGGCAGTTCATTGACAAACTCCTATTTGTAAAAGAAATACTACCAATAGCAAATAAGTTAAACTACTTCAGTAGCAACTTAATTAAGGCACATGCTGTTGAACATATAGCTACACAATATATTAGTAGAATTCCCGAAGCAGAGTGTTTCAGACACAGTACATCATAGAAATTATAAATCTGTTCTAAGTAGACTTTCTACTACATCCACTTCTTGCCATGCGTACTTTAAGCTAATGTGGTGGGTAAAATAACTAATTTTCTTTTAAATGTGTTTAGAATAATTTAATATTTAAATATTCGATCTTGGTTTTCATATTGTAAGGTATTTTTGAGCTAATGGGACTGAATAGTCTATCAGCTTTCCTTTCCTCTTTCTCCCAGCCTCCAGAAAGTTTCTTGGTAATCTGCATTCACCGACAGTGTCTGGAACTGAGTTGTGTATAGTTCTGTTCTCTATACAAGGTGAAATTTTTTTTCCTCCTGAAAATTCTTTTGGCATTATGTATGTTTTATTAGAGTGCCACAGACATTCAGTGTCAATTATCACATGTTGAAATTATTCCCTGATGGTAGCTTTCAAGGACTGCCAGTTCTTAGTTTTCTATATACAGTATGTCCAAGCAGATGCTGTAAGAGAATTCACAACACAAGCGCCTTTTAGTCCCCCTACTGCTGAACAAAGACAGTTTCTGGGCCTAAGTAACAATTTGGCTTCCCTCTGACAAGTAGCAGTGTGTTTATATTGTCTGGCTACATCTCTGACTAATCCGTCATAATCAGTTTCTGTTTACAGTTAACTATTTCCTAATGTACAGTTCTTAATACCAACATTAATAACTCATTTCAGTTATGGTTTCAATTAATCATACTTTATTTACAGTTTTGGTTTCAATAACCTTACAGTAGGTGTGTGAAAAGGCAAATGTTGTTTTGCAAAATTACACCATGAAGATTTTATGATGTAAATTGTGATGACTGGCTGGACTTCTGATAGTTTAAAATATTATATAAATGTCATTGGTGAAGTTTAGTAAAAGATAATGAAGTGTTAGTCTTGTTGGCATTTGTATCACTAGAACACTTTGACTAATGATTCATTGGCTAGCAATACTGACAAGGACATTGGCTACTTATAACACTGTCTATATAAGCACAATCTACTTTTGTGTCAGGCTTCTTCCCAGTAATCAGCTTACACTCTGTTTACTTTCAGTATTAACCAAACCTGCCGTGACACTGCTTGTATAGGGTCTTATTCATATTGTCCTTTTAAAAGCCTGAGGACTTCTGACCCACATGCCTACCTACTGTGCTAGACCCCTGGTACCGTAACCATTTTAAATAGAGATTTCCTTTTCCTTTCTTCTGAATCACAGGTGGTCTCTGTGCATTGAATCAGAATCATGGGATTGTTTGATAAGCTAGCAGGATGGCTTGGTCTGAAGAAGAAGGAGGTTCATGTTTTGTGCCTTGGGTTGGACAATAGTGGCAAAACAACTATCATTAATAAACTTAAACCTTCAAATGTAAGTAACCTTAGTTCACTGCTAACTCTTTATTACCAAATGTTACTGCAAAGTTGATATAGAGGAAAAAAAGTGGAGGTCTGTTTATAAGCTTAGAAAATATAATGTATAAAAATGCCCCTTTCCCCCCTCCCCCCCCGAAATAAAGCTTCAGTCCGTTTGCAAACCTCGCTTTATGTATATGTGTATATACATATTTTTTTAAAATAGTGGTTAAAAAACAACCCCCACTACCTACTAATATGCCTACTGACTTCTCAGATCACAGGATAAAGAAGGGTTTATGATGGACGAGATTAAAAGTGGGCTGTGGAAACTGTTTTTATTTTGAAGAAATAAATATTATCGTTTGAAACTTTAATGGTTTGGGACAAGTACAGTTTTACTGCAACTAGCACTTGTCTGTAAACATCATTATCTTTGTCTTAGACTATTATTGATTAAAGATGGTGCTGCATAACTAGGAAATTAAGAATGAGAATGCAAAACTTTTTTATGGTGAATTCATCATTGGTACTTTCTAAATTAATGGACTGTGACCATCAGATGTACTAATCCATTGATAAAAAGAGAGTATGAGTTCACCATCAATGTCTTGTGTAACTGATTGTGATGAAGGGTACATACTGCTCTTTGATATGGTTTGGTGATGAACTGAATGACTTATGGAGTGACTGTACCATTGAAAACTGGAAACTCTTCCCTACCTTTTTATTTCCATGCATTCAAGGATTCCGATGGGTTAAGTGTAGCCTGATGTAACCTTAACTGTCACAAAACATAATTGTTTATTTGTTAACATCCTATTATGTATTTAAATGAAGACTGATATCTTAAAGGAGGAGACTTTTTAGCAAAAACATGTCATATCAAGTTGCAATTTATAAAGGTACTGAGAGTCTAATGTTTCTTGCTCCAGTAATTTTGCTTCTGATAAAATGTAATTGGATCTATAAATGTAAACTAGATATCTATAAAATTACTTTTTAGCCGTGTGTAGATGCAAGCTGCCACAACCAGCACATTATTATTTTTCTGGCTTTGTTCTCAAAAGTGATGACCTTGGGATTGTATTATAACATTTGTTTTTATAATATGCCTCAAAACAGTGCAGTATCCAGAGGATGGGTCAAGTCTTGAAGTTAGTGCTAAGATATGGCAATGATGGGCACAATAGAAAACCCTAAAATAGATAAGCTAATTATATAAGCAAAGCAAGTAGAAACTGTCTCCTCCTGTTTACTTCATTAGTCATATTATGGTCGTTATTTGTGAATGTATTGTAAAGTGAAAATATGCGATAACACTATTTTATTAATTTGTTAAAATGTAACAAACTTAATTAGATCAGTGTCCCTGAAAACTACTAATTCTGATAAATGAATTCGTTCACCTGACAAATTGCTCTGAACTGTCAGCTAATCATCAGAGTACAAAGCCAATGAATATATTTCAGGCTGAGCAGTCACCTTGCTGAGAGAGCTTGAGAGAGGCATTTAAAAGACCTCCCTTTTTTACCTGCCAGCTACAATTTTGTTCTCCACTGTTTAGTTATGAAATTCAAATAAGTCATCTGTAATTTCTAGTGTAAGATACCCTTGAAGGAAAGTTGTACCTTCTATGTTCAGTGCATAGTTGTGACCTCTTGATGGAAACTGTTGGCCAAACTACTTCTTGTGGTGGTGAAAATAACTTTTTTTTATTTTTTTATATATATATATATATATATATATATAAAATAGTTTTAAAGATCAATAAACTAAGCCAGTTTTAGTGTGTATGTGGGGGAAAGCCAGTTGCTTGTAAACATCTTTTATAAATAAAGTTTTAGAGCCTCTTATTGTCTCAAATAGCTGGACTCTTTGCAACCCTTATTTTTTCTGAAAGATTCTGTCATATTGCACCAACTTTCCAGAAAAGTTGCACTGGTAACCAGGCTTTTTGTTGAGCCGTGGTGCTCTATTTTGTCCCAACCTTCCCTTCTTTGGTAAATGTGGTAATTTCTTTGAAGTGCTCTGGTAGTTGACTAAGAACTAGTGCAACATAAGAACCTAAAATTTCAAGCTACTGCTTCCCAACGTAAATAGCTTGCGATAAAGAATATTGGGGCAATATGTTCTCTCTTTCTATTTAAAGGTGAGGTATAATATACTTCTCTTTGGGTTGAAATTATGACCTCCAGAGGGTAGAAATACTTGGATTCTTTGTACTCTGACCTCATTGGTAACTCTTCAACCCAGAAAGCTATCACTTTCTGTGATAGTATGTTACTTAGCTCTGGTCAGTACATAATCTGTACATAAACTATAACTTAGTTTGTTGCAAAAGCAAAGGAATTCAGTATTAAGGCTGAAACGTCCTCACTCCTGAGCCTTGGTCATAAGTAATACAAGGTCTCAATTTTTTTGCTAGAAAATCCAAAACTTGGATCTTGAGATGGAGGAAATCCTGGGAAAGTATGTTAAATACCTGCCATGTCCATCCATTCTGTGTTACTCAAATGTTTCCTGAATATTATATATTGCACCAAAATTTTGGGAAATATAAGTAATTTAGAAATGAAGTTACATTTCAATTGCTGTATCTAACTTAACATGAGTTTGTTGTAAAACATGAATTTTCTCTCTTTAAGGCTCAAACTCAAGACATAGTTCCAACAATAGGATTCAGTATAGAAAAATTCAAGACATCCAGGTAACACCACTTTTGTGTACACATAGAATCATAGAATATCAGAGTTGGAAGGGACCTCAGGAGGTCATCTAATCCAACCCCCTGCTCAAAGCAGGACCAATCCCCAATTTTTCCCCCAGATCCCTAAATGGCCCCCTCAAGGATTGAACTCACAACCCTGGGTTTAGCAGGCCAATGCTCAAACCACTGAGCTGTCCCTTTCCCCCTCCCCAAATTAGTCTCTCTCTCTTTCAGCGTGATGTAATCAAATGTGATGATGTGTGGTGATGTAATGAAGTGTCATTTGAGTCACTCGTGTTGCTGTATCACAATATGTTGTATGTTCTGGTGCAGTTCTCTAATGTGTGAAGAGGCCAATAATGTTTTGCGGTATCACATGAGAGATTTGGCTTTGATTTCTGGCCTCACTTATAGAATCAGTAGGGCTGGCACTCTACCAATTCAGTGTGTGTAGTCTTTAGGCATGTCTCAAATCACTGAATATTAGTCTGTACTAGGTTAAGAAGTATCACTGAGATACTTTGAATGGATTTCAGTCTTCTTTCATTAACTGAAAAATGGTGGCTGTAGCCTTGAAAATATGAAAGTTGCATTGTTTAAAGTCAGGAAAAGAGGGGGGACATCATCAGTTTCAAGAAGGATGGTAGACAGGCAATTGCCTCAACACACCCCACTTGTGTGTCTAAAAAAAATAGAAAAAATATGGGAGAATAATGAAAAACCCCTAAATATAACTTGACAGTATTTTGAAAAAGGTGTGCAGGCAGTCTTGAAAGTAATGTGGCCTATTGGTTGGGAGACCTGCAAGAAATTCATGCGTTTCTTGCTTGAACTTGGATGACTGGGATTGATGGGAGTAATATTTTTAATTGCTTTGGGTCACCTTATATCACCTACAAATCACAGCATCACAGTGCTTTGACCACTGCTAGGAGAGGACAGTATATATCCCTCTGTATTGCTGTCCTTTATCTGCTTTTTGAGTTGGTTAGCAGGGGAGGCAGAGTGGCAATCACATTTTCATACACAACAAGAATGTTTAAAATGCTTTCTTCAGCTCATGAAAGATTTATCTGAGGTTACTGTCAGAGCCATTTTCCAGTATGCAAAGGGTTTGTCTACACAGGGACATTATTTTTAAATAAGGTAAGGTGTGGAATTTAAAGCACAATAGCTACTCCAGAATTGCTCCCTGTGTGGCGACTGGTATTCTGGAATAAGAGTGCTTTTTTATTTTTTTTTCCAGTTTAGCCTAATCCAATTCCAAAGTGGATTAATCCAAATCAGAAAAAAGCACCCTTATTTTGGAATAAGTCTCCATATAGGGAGATATTCTTGAGTAGATATTACAGAATAGTTTATTCTGTTTTATACTAGTGAGCAACTTGCAGCTTTGCCACTCGAGTTTCATGGTTTTATGCTAAATATGAGAATATGTGTATTGTGCTGGAACAGTTATGTGGATTTGTGCAGGTAGCGAATAAGGAGTGTGTGTTGCGGGGGAGGGAATGTGTATTTGAGGTTATTGTGTATGCTGATCGTGTTTTTGTGTCTGGGAGTTGTGCTGGGAGATGTCTTGGTTTGTATAGGTGATAGTTGGGTGCATGGTTGTGGCATTTGGACCATCACTGCAGGCTCCCTCATACAACAAATGAAATTGTTGCATGCAAATTTAGCTGTAAAGAGTGGTGATTGGTTGAGTTAATTCTATCACAGTGGTCTAGAACACTTGGTATAACATAGATTACTTCTGGGAAAATTTTGCGCATCTGCTGATGTGCAAAATTCATGTGTCCCACATACATTTTATTTTTTCCTGCAGAAAATACATTTCTGCCCAAGAAGTACTGCAGTTCCACCTTTTGCCCACAAGAGGCCACTGTGGTGCCAGAACAACCAGCCACATGAATGCAGCTGGCTGTTCTGGCACCATAGCTGCCTCTGGTGGGAACAAGGTGGAACTGCAGCACTTCTTGGGCAGAATATATTTTCCGGGGGGGGAGGGAGTTTTGTATTAATATGCCTAGTAAGGAATCTGTCCCAAAAAAAAAATAAAAAAAAAAATCTTTGGTCTGTATTGTTACCTACTTGGTGACAGAAATAAATTACCAAAATAAATGAAATTGGCATGGTTTATTTGTCAAAACAACACAATATAAATATACAGAATTTTAAAATATTGTGCACGTAATTATTTGGTGCAGAATTTCCCCAGGAGTAATATATGCATGCCTTACTGTAGCTAGACACTCCGTATATGTAAAAGTCAAAATGACTGAGAAATTAAATACTGAACTGTAACAGACTGAGATCCAGTGATGATTCAGCCTCATGATATAATGAACAAAAAAAGCTCTCAACCATGCTTGTAGCTGTTTCCGTCACTTTACACTGATTCAACAGACCTGTTAGGCTTCAGAATGAAAAACACTGACAATTCCTGGAATCTTATTATATAGATTGGTGATGAGCACGGTTTAAGAACCTTAGTACCTGAGTTCCTTCCAGCAGTGCATTAAGCAATGTGACCGCACATCAGTCACGTAGTGTTTGTTCTCTCATCCTCTCCCAGGTGGAGAAGCGTGTGCAGCGGAGTGTCTTGTTTTGGTAGGGCTTTAGGGTTATTGTTTTGTTTTGGGTTTTTTGCTTGAATATATGTGGTGGTGGTGGTGGTGTTTGTTGTTATGTATAAACACAAAGAAATGCACTTAGTACTTAGAGTGAAAGGTGCTGAGGTTTGTGATGGTCCTTAGTTTATGAAGGATTTCATTCCAGTTTCAGACTGGCCCCTGAGAAAGTTGTCTGCCACACAGACAAGCTTTATTTACTCTTATTGTAGAAAGTTCCCTTGTGCCAGAGGAGCTTAGTTGTTGACCACAGTCAAGTGTAGAGAGCAGAGGACAGCTTTTATGTATTCATGGAGATCTGTGTTGCTGAGAAATGCACTTACTAATCAAAGTTTCCTAAGTGCTGAAGGCTTCATGCCCTAATGTATCACTATCACATTGTTGTAGTATGGCTGAGAAGTGATGAAGGCATGAATAACAGAGGCCAAGTAATCATTCACCAGGATACGCTGAAGTCTCCTAATCAACTGAAGTTGATAGAAAACATTCATCACAAATGCTGTTATGTGAGAGCTTAGCATCAGCAAGGAATCCAAGAGTTCTTCCAAACCACAGACCAAATTAATGAATTCTCCATAAGCACCTTCAAGCAAAGAAGACTGCATTGTGGCTGCAAATTCCTCAAAATGTTTTCTTCTGCCTACCAGCATCACTTCTGTTTTTCTCAGGTTTATTAAGCTTGAGCCAACTGTTCATCCATTAGCTGTCCAATCACTGGGCTATCTTGGTGACAGTGGTGTGTGTGATGCTCTATGATTGAAATGTCACCATTAATATTGCCACTGTTAGACAATTGCAACAAATTTTGTACAAAGCATATCATGCAAGATGTCAATGAAAAAGTTATGATTTGCTGATTGTTTATATTCATGTATCATTTTTGTATCTGAATTTATAAATATTGACTATATACTGGCATCTTACATATGGGCTGTATTCCTGGGCACCACCTACCAGATAAGATTTACATCTAGTACTCCTGGGGGGGGATTCTGTGTGCCTGCAGAAATTGCGCTCCCCCCCCCCCCCCGCAGAATTCCTGTGCTTCCCTGCAGAAAATGTCCAGGAAGCAAAGGGAAGCTGCGGGGGGGGTGGGGATGGGGAGAGTGGATGGAGTGCTGCTGTCCTTTAGCAGGCCTTAGAATTTATTGGAGTATGAGAGTCTTTGGTCAAATCAGGACTACTGGTCTATCATGTTGCCTGCGAGCTGGAAGGTCCGTGACCACTGCTTTAAAGAGGCCATGGCCCGTCCAGTACAGTGGCTGGGTTGTGATGACTTCCGTCTTGACATACAGGCCCCAGCTCAGGTCCAGAGTAAACCAGCTGCTTGGATTAGACCTGAGATGACCTATGAAACTCCTAGGAAGGCAAATGAGGTGATGAGTTTTGGGGCTTCTGCCTTGTAACCTTGTTGATTTTGTTGATGTCAAATGATGAGTAGTCTGGGGGTGTTTCAACAAGGTATCTGAGCTCCTTGATGAATCCTTGAATCTGTAGTGGCCTGTAAACTAGCATAAAATCTGTTAGTTTTGGCTCTGGTTTCTAGCATCACGTCTCTGAATTTGAATAAAGTTGTCTTTCTTTTGAGGGACCTCTGCATTTGAGGTTTGCAGAGAAGATTAATACAGTGCTGCCTGCCTTCTTGTCTTGTTCTGTGACATACTGATTATCCTGGAGGAATGGGGTGGACGAGCACAGGGCTCCTGGTGTCATCCAGATAGGTCTCAGTGATGCAGCTTTTTTCAGGTGCTTCATCGCTGACATGGTCACGTGTTTTGGGTTGGTTTGTTTGTTTGTTCTTTGCTATGGCAGATCTTGCAATAATCGGCATCACAGAATCATAGAATGTCAGGGTTGGAAGGGACCTCACGAAGGTCATCTAGTCCAACCCTGTGCTCAAAGCAGGACCAATCCCCAACTAAATCATCCCAGCCAGGGCTTTGTCAAGCGTGACCTTAAAAACTTCTAAGGAAGGAGATTCCACCACCTCCCTAGGTAACGCATTCCAGTGTTTTACCACCCTCCTAGTGAAAAAGTTTTTCCTAATATCCAACCTAAACCTCCCCCACTGCAACTTGAGACCATTACTCCTCATTCTGTCATCAGCTACCACTGAGAACAGTCTAGATCCATCCTCTTTGGAACCCCCTTTCAGGTAGTTGAAAGCAGCTATCAAATCCCCCCCATTCTTCTCTTCTGCAGACTAAACAATCCCACTTCCCTCAGCCTCTCCTCATAACTCATGTGTTCCAGTCCCCTAATCATTTTTGTTGCCCTCCGCTGGACGTTTTCCAATTTTTCCACATCCTTCATGTAGTGTGGAGCCCAAAACTGGACACAATACTCCAGATGAGGCCTCACCAATGTCAAATGGAGGGGAACGATCACGTCCCTCGATCTGCTGGCAGTGCCCCTACTTATACATCCCAAAATGCCATTGGCCTTCTTGGCAACAACGGCACACTGACTCATATCCAGCTTCTCGTCCACTGTAATCCCTAGGTCCTTTTCTGCAGAACTGCTGCCAGCCATTCGGTCCCTAGTCTGTAGTGGTGCATGGGATTCTTCTGTCTTATGTGCAGGACTCTGCACTTGTCCTTGTTGAACCTCATCAGATTTCTTTTGGCCCAATCCTCTGATTTGTCTAGGGCCCTCTATATCCTATCCCTACTCTCCAGCATATCTACCTCTCGTCCCAGTTTAGTGTTGTCTGCAAACTTGCTGAGGGTGGAATCCACACCATCCTCCAGATCATTAATGAAGATATTGAACAAAACTGGCCCGCAGACCGACCCTTGGGGCACTCCACTTGATACCAGCTGCCAACTAGACATAGAGCCATTGATCACTACCCGTTGAGCCCGACAATCTAGCCAGCTTTCTATTCACCTTATAGTCCATTCATCCAGCCCATACTTCTTTAACTTGCTGGCAAGAATACTGTGCGAGACCGTGTCAAAAGCTTTGCTAAAGTCAAGGAACAACACGTCTACTGCTTTCCCCTCATCCACAGAGCCAGTTATCTTGTCATAGAAGGCAATTAGATTAGTCAGCATGACTTGCCCTTGGTGAATCCATGCTAATTGTTCCTGATCACTTTCCTCTCCTCTAAGCGCTTCAGAATTGATTCCTTGAGGACCTGCTCCATGATTTTTCCAGGGACTGAGATCAGTTTTAGTTTGTGTGGCTTGTGCTGTTTGCTTTTGACCTGTTCCTAGATAATGATCCTGTGCAGCGTATGGGTGATAGTTGTCTGGAATCTAGCTTCTTATGTCTGCTCTTCTGTTTTCCTGGGCTGTTCCTCCAAATTTGAACAGTGACAAGTGAAGTGGATTATGTCATGGGATGGTCCAAGTTAAGGAACAGTTGTCTTGTTTGCTAGATGCTAGAGGAAAGGCAGATCTGTTGTATATCTTTTTGGTGCAGCAACCTGCTTGAGTCCTTGGAATGGGTGGAGCTGGAGCAATGTGTTCCTGGAGTAGTGGTGGGTGTGCTGGAAATGTGGTGGCATAACAACAATGCAAATATTATTGCCACTGTCATTACTAGGTAGGCTTGAGCCCCACAAGAGAAAATGTCAATGTGATCAGATATCCATTTTCTCGAAATACATTGTCAGTGTTGTGACACCCCCTGTTGCTTTTACTTGCTTTGGGAGGGAGATGGTACTTCCCATTTAATCATACAGTATCATGTCTGAGTAAGTTATATAGTGGCCTTCTGACCAGCAGGTAGTGGTGAAGGTGAAGAAGCAGGGCTGGGGCTCAGGGATCCTTCTTTGTAAGAGGAGAGCCTTGTTCATGGGGGTGGTTCCTGTGCTGAGGGGCTGGGAGAGCATTCAGAGCTGCACTTTCCCCTTTTAGAAAACCTTCATTTCTATTTCCAAATTTTCAAGAAGTAAAAAGTGACCAGAGGTCCCTCTCCTGCTGCTTTCTGTGGTGCTGGCCATGTGTGGGGCCTGCTGGAGCTGGTCCCTGCTGCTGCTACTGTGTCCTGCTGCAGAGTGGGAGGAAAGAGGGGTCAGAGAAGTTAGAGACCTGGCTCCTTCCAGGGCTCTAAGGAACCTGGTCAGTTTCCCTCTGTAGACAATTCCTAATACTGAACTTAATACAAATACAAATAATGTCAGTAGGCCAGCTTTGCCCACATTGTACTTAGTTTCATTTATATGGATGATACTTATTTGATTCCAGAAGTTGATCAAAATGTTGTTTTGTAACTCTTTCATAAGTGGACTTATGATTGTGCTTAGTGTTTGGGTTAAATGTTGAAGCTACAGTAGATCACTTAACTGCTTGGGGAAACCCAATAGTACTCAAGTTTTGAGCAAATTGAAATATTACCTTGTAAGAATTCTGTCTTGAAGGATAGTTCTTCCCACTGAAGCCAATGAAAGCCATCTGTGCATATTAAAGGCATGCCATGAAATTTAAAAATCACATTTCCATCTGAATTTTATTTACCTACTATTATACCATTGCTGTAATTGATTGATATACAGAAAACACACTTCGCTCCCCATTTTTTCAGGTTGTTTACTTTTTGAATTTGACATTACTGTGTGTAGTCAGTTTCCCTGTTTTTGGGGGGGGGGGGGGTCTTTCACACAGCAGAAGGGGGAAGAGAAAACCTTTTCTTAATGGGAAATTGATTGTATAACCACAAAAACTGGCAGGAAGGCTTTGGGGTTTGGTGTCATATCAGAAGTTTTTATTTTAATTTTTTTTTAATTTACTATGTTTTAAGTTGATTGTCCATTTAAAAGTGTTAAAATGAGGAAAATATATTTTTTTTGTTCTATGGGATCTGTACCTCACTCTTTCTTCCTTTTCAGTTTGTCTTTCACAGTGTTTGACATGTCAGGTCAAGGCAGATACAGAAACCTGTGGGAACATTACTACAAGTGAGTAATTTTTTTTTATTTTAAAACATTGCTGTTAATAGTAGCTAAATAGATTTTTTAAAATCTAGACAGATATAACATGTTAAAGAGCTGGGAGTTGATGATGATAGACAAATCTGGACTGGGAATAAGATGCACATTTTTAAGTGAGGGTATTTAACCATTGGCACAACAATCGTTGTGGTGGATTCTACATAACCAGAAAAATTTAAATCAAGATTTGATATTTCTCTAGAAGGTATGCTCTAGTTCAAACAGGAATTAATTCACGGAAGGCCTATAGCCTTTGTTTTACAGGAGGTTGAACTAGATGATCACAATAGTCCCATATGGTTTTATAATATACGAAAATTAGAAAGTGTGGTTTTACCAGCCTCTTTGATTATTATTAGTCCTAAAATCTATAATGATGGCTTTATAAGCAGCTTAGATGAGTCATGAAAGAGTGTGGTTCTTATGCTACTACTGTTACTAAGAATATTGTTCTTAAACAAAGGTTTAAGCAACATCCCACTTCTAAACTAATTGGCTTGGAGTTATCCAGTGCTTTATAATGGTTATGGTAGTCTCATTAAGTATTCTTGTACTGAGACATCAACTTTGTGTTAGGTCTAGCTGTGTGTTTCTGGTTAAACCATTATACTTCCTGCTGGTTTACACTGAATTGTTAGTATAAATTAATTCAAAACACATCTCACTTAGAACAATAAAACATGGGATGGGGAGCATGTGGAGATAGAAAATAAGGAGATGTATGAACAGTTGGTAACAAGCATATGTATGGGGATTGGTTGTTAGTTCACTGAGGGCAGTGTAGAAAAGGAGAGATTTGAACACTTTATATAAAAAAAAAAAAGAAAAAGTTGGGGAATCAGAGGTTAGAGGTTGGATATCTTATCGTTTTCCTGACATTCATATCCACTTTATGGGGCATGGATGAACATAAAAGATGCTGATTTACTGCTGTTTTTATAGACAATCATAATGCAAAGTTTCAAAGAACGAGGCATCTGTGTAATTATCAGGGTACTAACAAATGTTATGCCTTTTATCCTATATGTTGTGGCAAAAATCAAATAAATGTGCTTAATAAAATTGTGCTGTTGTTTTGGCATATGCCCTATTCTTTAGATTGTTCCATTTTATTTCTTGCTGATACTAAAATTTAAAACTCTCTTTTAGTGATTTCTATCTTCTAAACTAGTCTCAGTTGTTATCATCATTCATGTGAATATGAAGGCCAGTAGTGAGCAGGACAAAAGTAACCTGAATTCTCCATTTTGAATGCTTGAATTTTGATGTGTTTATTATGTGATAAACTTTGCTGTAATATTCTTTATTTTTCCTCTTCCTCCTTTTTTTTAAAATTGGAGATTAACATAGAGGGCTTTTCCTACAAAAATTAATTGGCAGTTTGAGAAATTGTCAGGTAGATAGGTATTTTGTAAATTTGCATTAGGGCTGGGGTTTTCAAAGCAGCCTAAGGGTGTTAGGTGCAGGATTTGGATGGAATTTGGATGCCAAATTCCCAGAAGCTGCTTTGAAAATTCCAGTCAAAGTGTGTGATAGGACATCACTGTATTAAAAACTGGCATTGAGGTGATCCTCCTATGTGGCAGAAAATCAGTGTGCGCACAACTGGTTAGTTTTCATTTGTATCATGTCCACAGTTTGAGTATAGTTTCTTAGCAGTAACACTGACACTACAGTGCCCCCTAATATCAGTATCCTCCCTATCCACTGCAGTTTTTATCTATATGGGATTTAATTCCAGTTAAAAGTAGCATACAGAAAAGCAATATAATAAACTAATAAAGATAAGCAAGACTGCAAGTACAGAAAAATGGCTAAATTAATCTATAGGTCTGATCTAGAACCTGTGCACATAAGTAGGTACTTCCAAGTACTTGACACTTGCACTTTTTTCATATCTGGCTCACACCTCTCTCTTCAAGGGTACATTAACAACTCGAAATCTGATTTAATGATGCATGTGGTATCTTGACTCTTGAGTATTGTCCCTGTTACTGGTTGGTTTGGTTTTTTTGTATGTGTCTGTGAGACCTAGGAGAATCTTGTTTCTTTGTAAGTAAATATATGCTATAATTGTAACTTCACTATAGTACTGTTGTACAAACCTGCTGTTAACACTTTATTTGAGTAGTTTTAGATATGCTGGAACATTCACAACAAATATTAAGCATTTGCTTACAGTTTATTTAGATTTTTATGCAATACACACCAATAAATGTGGGCCTAGTCATGCAATCTTAACTTGGCCAAATTTCCCACTCTCTTTGATTGCCGTGGTAGGCGATCAAGAATTGCAGGATTGGGTTGTATTGTGGAGATGAGAGGGAAAAACATACTGGTAGCTGACCTTCAAGGAAGACTAGGATGCAGAGAAAAAGATTACAAAAATTTAAATAAAATGCAAAATTATGTATGGGGTTTCTTGTATACAGTTCAGAAAATCCATTGATATACTCTTATAAACATTTTCAGTTTTCCCTTTGTTAGAAAGCAAAAATAACTCTCAATATTAAGTCTACAAAGTCACTAGTTGAATTGGCTATGCAAACTGAAAGTGTTTCTGCATTCTTCAAGATACTAGTGGTTTAGACCAGAGGTTCTCAAACTGTGGTCCGTGGACCACCAATGGTCCACAAGCTCCGTTCAGGTGGTCCCCCGGTAGTTCCCTCTAAGGTGAGCGCCTGGGCAGCCACACACAAGAGAATGAAGGGCCATCCACCTAATTAGTGGAGGTGCGCAGGCGTGGCTCCACTAATTAAGTGCCTAGACCCTGGAGAAGATGCACGTGTGAGGTGGTGGCCTGGGGGGGGTATGTGGAGGGGGCAGTGGGGTGAGAAGAGGGGGTGGGGGGAATTTGGGATGTGCAGGGCTGTGGCGGCCAGAGAGGCGACTTTCCCAGCTCCAGGGTTGCGGCTGCCAGTAAGAGACCCCCCCCTCCTTCCCAGCCTCAGGTCTGTGGCAGCTGTGGCAGGGGAGAGACCCCCCCCTTCTCCCCAGCCCCAGCTCGATGGCTGCTACGGCGGGGGGGGGGGGGAGAGGGCATGTCCATCGAATTAGAAAGGTAAAACTACTGATACTAAAATGAGTTGTGTGCTTTTATTTGTAAAACAAAAAAAGTTTATTAAGTTTTTTTTTTTTTTATATAGAGCTTTTATCCAAAGAGCATTACAATAGTTAGCTAACGGTACAAACAACATCTGGAAAGATCAAGTGATCTGTTGAGACCCTCAGCAATTTTCAAGTGGTCTGCAGGAAGAAAAGGTTGAGAACTACTGGTTTAGACGTTGGTATCTCTTCCATACTGATTCATCTGTGTAGACCTTTGACACAGCTTAACGACTCTGCATGTACACAGTTGTTAAACTGGTTGTAGATGAGCCAACCACTTGTCTGAGTGGACTCTTAACAAGGTTCTTTAGACAAGAAACTAAAAAACTATGACTTGAATGTAATTTTTCAAAACAGTTTTGACAAGGTTTAGCCCTTTTCACTCTGGCTTGCTGGCCCCAGCTGTGTCAGCATCCAGTATTGCTACGTTGGGTGTTCATGTTTTTCAGCAGAGGAATTGAGCTTTCCTGAAAGATCTGTGTACAACAAACCTTATGGGCTGTGAAATTGATAATTTTTATAGCAGAAAAGTTACATTGTTAACCAAAAGGCCAGATTTCAGAAACTGGCCTCGACTCAAAGGTTTCTAGCAAAAATCTTCCCTGAGATTGTAGAAATAGCTAGACAGCTCTGCATGGGAGAGGAGTAAAGAAAATATTTTTGAAAGGTTTTTGTTGGTCAAAGTTTCTGAGCGAGCTTACAATTTGCCTCTTTACTTTTCTATATTATGCAGAGAAGGCCAGGCCATTATTTTTGTCATTGATAGCAGTGATAAATTAAGAATGGTTGTGGCCAAAGAAGAACTTGACACCCTCCTGACTCATCCAGGTGAGAAGACTGTATTTTCCTACCATCTCCATATTATGTTGTATTGTTTCAAACATAGAAACTCTTGTTATTATAGACATTCTGCATTTTAAGTAAATTTCCCTCCATTTTAGCCATTGATAGGAGCTAGAATAAAAGTAAAATGGAATTTGTATAATAAGCCAATATTTACTTCTGTTGAGGTGAATACCAAAACTTAGGACCTGATAAGATTCCTACTGACCTCAGTAGGAGCCGGATTGGGCCTTTTTTGATCAAGGTGGAACAGAAGTTAATAGTTGCTTTGAGGGACTGTAAATCATGGCATTTAAAAGCTTGGAGTTCATAGACAACATGTTTGTTTTCATATGCAATGTCTGAAAAAATTTCCATTTAAGACCATGAATTACTTCAATGTAACTTTTTGCTGTTTGGTTAATGCTGTATCAGACCTCAGTATTGGCCTCTGAAGAGGTAAAAACACTAGAAACTTCTTTTATGACTTTGCAGCCAGGAGTAGTAATAGCTAATGATGCCACAATTTCAACTGTCTAAATGGGGAGGGAGATTCATGATTATTTCTAAGGTTACATTTTGAAATAGGTTTTGTGGGGGTTTCCATGTGTTCCCAGGGGTATTGGAATTAAACCAATTTACTCATGTAATGCGGATGTTCTGACTAATCAAGAGAACAAACCCTATGCAGGAAATTCAAAGTAAAACCACTATATAGCCTAATTTTAGTTCCCAGTCTGGCATATTCTAGCAGTTCAGTGGGGTGTTGATTGCTGGATCTATTACACTGAAAAGTTGTAGGGTAGGATTCTGACAACAGAAGGAAAAGTTGTTTACACAGTACCTCTTGGTCTGAAACCAAGTTATTGTGGAAGCTAATGAAGATAAGAATGATTCTGGGGGCTGGTGTAAAAACAAAATATGTACAGCTTGGTCAACAAGATTAATGAGTTGATTAGCATCAAAATTGTAGTTGGATCTGTGAGAGCTGATTGGTGAAGAGAAAAGGACCCAAGGACAGACTCTGTTACAAAAAGGAGACACAGAAAGAACAGTTAGAGGGAGTAGTTGGAGGACAGTACCACAACAGCCAAGAGAGAAGAATGTCAAGGAGAAGAGTGTGACCCATAATAGTGAAGACTGCAGAAAGAGCAAGTTCACTGTACAAATGAATGTAACCTTGTTTCCAGGGATCAAGCTCGTGACCTTCTCCAGGGCACCATTTTCTCATTGGCCCAGGAAAGGGATATCTTGAATTTCTGTCTCATAGCATCATAAAACAAATGTAATAGAAATTGTTTTTTTGCTGTTGTGAATATTCATGGGACTACTGAATTGGTTGATAATGCAAAGGTGTATGCAAGAGTAGCAGCAATCATTCTAGCAGTAATTATAGAAATCACAGAAATGTAGGGCTGGAAAGGAGCTCAAGAGGTTATCTAATCCATTTTCCCCATGCTGTGGCTGAATTAAGTATACCTAGACCATCCTTAACAGTAGTGTTTCTCTAATATGTTGTTGAAAACCTCTGAGTATGGGGATTCTACAAACTTCCTAGGAAATCTGTCCCAGTGCTTAACTAATCTCGTAGTTAGAAAGTTTTTACTAATATCTAACTTAAAACTCTCTTGCTGTAAACTAAGTGATTACTTCTTGCTGTACCCTCCGTGGATATGGAAAACAATTGATCACCAGCCTCTTTATAACAAGCTTTTGCATATTTGGAGACTGTTATCATGTTCCCCCTCAACCTTCTCTTCTCTAGACTAAACATGACCAGTTCTTTCAACTTTTCCTCATAGGTCATGTTTTCTAAATCTCTTACTATTTCTGTAGCTCTCCTCTGGAGTCTGTCCAGTGTGTTTACATCTTTCTTAAAGTGTGGTGCCCAAAACTGGACACTGTACTCCAGCTGAGGCCTCAAAATAGCATTTGCTTTTTTCACAACAGCATTGCACTAACTCATATTCAACTTCAGACCCACTATAATCCACAATGTTTTCTGCAGTACTGCTGCCTTGCTCAAATACAAAATAGGGAATAACTGGCATTTGATTTTTCTTTCCTAAGTGAAGTACTTTGCCCTTTATTGAATTTAATCTTGTTGATTTTTAGACCAATTTTCCAATTTATTAAGATCATTTAATTTTTATCCTGTCCTCCTGACTCCTTGCAACCCCTCCCAGTTTGCTGTCTATAGATTTTAAGTGTATTCTCCATTCCGTCCTCCAAATAGTTAATGAAAATACTGAATAGGTCCAGACCCAAGACAGATCCTTGTGGAATCCCATTTGATGTGTCCTTTCAATTTGCCAGGAAACTGTTTATACTACCGAGTATGCTCTTTCAACCAATTGTGCATCCACGTTATAATAACTTCATCTAGTTTGTTTATGAGACTGTCCTGTGGCACTGTGTCAAAAGCTTTATTGGGGTCCAGATATATACTGCTCCCTCCTCATCATTATGCTGGTTATCCTGTCAAAGAAGAAAATTAGGGTGGTTTGGCATGATTTGCTCTTGATACATCAGTATTGGCCATTACTTATCACCTTATCCTCTAGGTTTGACTATGTTTGATTAAAGTAGTTTAAGATTGATTCAGTAAATATCTAGATTAGGCTAGTAATATTTACTGTGGCTGTTACTTGGAACAAAACCACTTCTTCCCATGTGCCACTGCAGCAGTTGAGATCAATTGGTGCACTTGAGAATATGTCCCTAGATTTAAATGGAGACTGGTGTCTGGTGATCCCCTAAAAGGTGTCTAGAATTCAAAATCAATATTCCCCTGAAGGTTTGCTAGAAGAAGGTTACATATCTTAGGGTAAGGTATAAGTTCCTGTCTTTCTCTTTTGTCTGGAGTGGTTGGAGAGGAGAGGATGGTAAAGTAAATTTCATTGTGATCTCTTTATTTTTAAGAGATGCATATTGGTGTGCGCCCTGAGATTACAGTAGCAGGCTGTGTTGTGAAAATGAAAACATTTTTAAAGAAAAATAAATTACTATAATTGGACAACACATACTACAAATAGTGGGGGTTTTAATAATCACTGTTGTCAGTTATATTTTTATTATGACTTTATTGTACAGCAGTTAAGATACTTGATGCTCTCTAAAGGTTTGTTATTTTGCATAGATATCCACTCTTGGGTTACTTGACCTCCAGAACATGCTTCTAAGGGTAGGTCTACACTACCCGCCGGATCGGCAGGTAGCAATCGATATATTGAGGGTCGATTTATCACGTCTAGTCTAGCGCCGTGAGAGGCACAAGCAGAGTTGACGGGGGAGCGGCAGCAGTCAACTCACCACCGTGAAGACGCTGCAGTAAGTCGATCTAGGTACGTTGACTTTAGCTACGGTATTCTCATAGCTGAAGTTGCGGACCTTGCATTGACTTCCCCCTAGTGTAGACCAGGGATAAGATATCTTCGAGTTTTTTCAGAAAATTCAGAAACCTCTTATATAAAATCCAAGGCATCGGGGAGAGAGGGAAGATACCATGGCCTCCGACTACAACAGAGAAGCAGGCATTAACCAATAGCTACAATGTTCAGATATTTGAAGGCGGCAGAGGAGAATTTCTTCTGTGTTTTTATAGGTATGTTGTAGCTGTATAACTTTGTAGCAATATATAAAAAAAGCTGATACTATAGAATGGAAGCAAAAGTTGCAAAACAGTTTCAGCCCCAGTGTTTCACAAGTTCATAACTTTCTGAAAAATCACTTCTTGAGCAGATGTTTTCTTTGCATGTTCTCTTGCAAAAGATGAAAGTATGAGGAAAATACTTTCAGACATTTCTGTTCTGTGCAGGTTAGAAAAATACTTTTTCCATTTAAAAAAAAACCAACTTCTTCACACAATTTAAAAATGGCTGATGTTTGAAATGAGGTATATAAAATAATTCCCATAAGAACATCCATAACGAAATTTTGGGAAAAAAAGATGGATATGAATGATATGAAAGACGAACAACTGGCTACTGTGTACGTGCAGTAGAAAATATTGTTAACACACAGGTATGCTTCTAGATAGAAGTGAATACTCTTACTGAAGTGTACGCTTATCAGTGTATGATGTTGGCATCTTAAATGGGCTTTAGCCCCATTCTCTAAATAATAATAATAATAATAATTAATAATACCAAACCCCATAATAACCCAGGAAATTATGAGTGGTAAACTGTTAATATAACATTAGCTTTGCACAGTTGAAATAAATGATGGAAATAAAAATGTTAGGATTCCTACAATAACATTAATTTGGCCACTTTGCATGCATCTGATATCCCTATTCCTATATTTAATGTATCCATAGAATGCGACACATGGGCAATATGATTAAATTAGCTTTATGTTGCTGTAGGAACTTTAGCTTTTTCATTTCTTGGCTGTTTAACTGTGAAACCTAAAAGTTACTTTAATTATGCATAAGTTGCATGTTCTGAGGCTTTTACTTTTTTCCTCAGACAGCCTCTAGCAAATTAACTCCAAAGCTGGCAGACAGTTTTAGTTACTGTTTACTTTTTGATGAGCCATCCTGATCTCTGAATGTGGGAGTTGTGGGGGGATGGAATGTAGTTTCCAGTCATTATGAAGAAAGGCTGAAGAGTTGTTTTTAAAAAATAAAATAAAATAACCAAAACAAACAAAACACCACAAGCCACTTCAGAATGATGAAACTTACTTGTCAGCAAAGGAGACTGGTCTGTGGGTTCCAGTGTAAGCAATTAATGTAATGAGAAATGAGTTAGTAATCCTTTAAAGCATACATTTCTTTGAAAAACTCAAATATCTTAGTCGTGCTTACTTCCCGTTCCTTGGAGTTTAGGGAGAAGCTATGCCCGAAGTGCTCACTACAAATTCTGATGGTTAGGGGGGAAAAAGTAGCATCTTCCTATCAAGATTTGGATGATCTATTCAAATGCCGTCGTCTTTATCTTCTCCCCTAATGCACCACCCTTTTCCTTGATAGCAACACAGGAATAGACTAGACTTGCTATTACTCAATTTTTTGTTACAGGCTAGAGCACTGGTGGACTTTGTTTTCTTCCAGTGATGCTTTAATATTCTATATTAGCCAGACAGGCTTAAGCATTTAGATGCTGAGTGTGTTCTCACTGCTTCGTCTGCATCTGCGACATAAAGACATTTCTCCATATTCTTCTTGGGTGTATGTAAGTATGCCAAGAATTAAGTCAATTGCCAATGCGCTGAGCTCCTTGCTCCAGATCTTGTGGTTCCTGCTGCTAGCTGAGAAGAACTATTGGAAAAGAGGCCTTTCTTCAAGCACAGGAATGATGTGAGGGATTACCAAATACACCTCTACCCTGATATAACGCAACCCGATATAACACAAATTCGGATAGAACGCAGTAAAGCAGTGCTCCGAGGGGCGGGGCTGCACGCTCCAGTGGATCAAACTAAGTTTGGTATAATGCGGTTTCACCTATAACGCAGTAAGATTTTTTGGCTCCCAGGACAGCGTTATATCAGGGTAGAGGTGTACATGTTTTTTCCATTTTTGTAGGCTTTAGAGAAAGTAATGGGCATCCTGCAGATACCTGAGGATAGCTCAATGTATCCTAATTCAGTTATGGTTGCAGGGGTATGAACTCTTAATTTAATCAATTTTGTGGCTATTTATACACCCTGTCCTTCACTAAATAGTGAAGATGTGGTGATTGGAAGCTATGGTTTGAAGCCTCCACATTCCTCTTCTTCGCCAACAACCTCAGCCTACAGCCATAAATGTATTTGAGTTGGGGAGAGATTCTAAAACTTACCAGAAAATTTGTGAGCACTCCTAAAGCATGTGGCTGAGGCCACGTGACCCAACAGTGTGTGTCTTGGTAGGATACAACCTTCAAAGAACCACAATGACAGGTAAGCAGTATATCCTCTTTTGTTGTTCATGTTTCATTACTTGCAAATGACGACAAGCATTACCAAATATTCTGGTATTCCTTGCTTTTTGTTTATGCTTAGATATCAAACACCGTAGAATACCTATCTTGTTCTTTGCTAACAAGATGGACCTCAGGGATGCAGTATCATCTGTGAAAGTCTCTCAGTTACTGTCTTTAGAGAACATCAAAGATAAACCATGGCATATCTGGTAAAGTACTATTACCTCACCTTTTTCTTTTTTTTTTTTTTTTGCTGTTGATTGAAATGTTCAACTTTTAGCCATTCCATAGCATTCACTATCCTATTACTTAAATGAGAGCAAACCAGATAAAATGCTGTAACTTTTTACTGGTATCTGAGTAGGTACAGGGCTTTGTACAATACTTGCTATGAAATCTGGTTTGAAAAAAATATTTAATATGTAAAATAATATAGAGTTGGGCTTGAAAAATTTACCAGAAATATCCTAGCCAGAAACTCAATCAGAGGGGTTGTCCCCAGTGAAGTTTCAGGCAATGTCCTAGTGGGAAGAACAACCCTACTCACTATTGCTGGGAAGTGGAATGGTGGTAGATTCTTACCAGAGTGCTGTAGCTGGTCACTCTCATGCACTGTGGGATTCTGAGTATCAGTTGTGAAACTGATCAGAATCTTGGTAATATCACACTGGGAGTACTTTGGAAAGCTACCAATCGTACAACAGGCAGTGAAGTTATCTGTGTGCAGATTAAGATAGACAACACTGCATCAGTTCACATTTGGAAAGTTATCTTTGCAGTCACAAAAACTAGAAACTTTTTTTTAAAGTAATAGTTTAAATTCTTCTGAAATTGATGGCTTATGTCCCATTCTTCACTAGGCAAAAGCTTTGCATTTGTTAGTGGCAACTATAAAGGTGTATATAGGATTTGTGACTTCCAGGCACCAGCCTTGTTTTTCAATCACTAGACCATGAGACTTCTAAGGTATGTCTACACTGCAGTGAAAGCCTGGGCTCAGACTCCAGCTTGAGCCCAAACCCCCTTTTGTCTATACACAGTTCTGTCTCACTGGGACCTGGACCCCAGAACCCTGCAAGGTGGGTAGGTTTGAGTCCAGGTCCTGCTGGGACTTGGGCCCAAACTGCATCATTTTGCAATGTCAATGCAGCTTGGATCCAGGACTCCCAGACTAGGGTCCTGAGAGTCCACCAAGGCTATCCCACAATCCCATGGGTCAGTGTTCTTTGTCCTCTCTATCCCAAGATAAGCCATTCAACTCCTAGGGAATGGAAGCAACCCCCCCTTGTTCAAATACAACAGCTTAGCACATCTATCCCTACTATTTTATTCTGACCACTGAACTGCAAACTCAGTGAACCTTCTGCATTTGCAATGGCCATTGACCAGAAGAAGTCCTTTGCCAAGCATGCCGCTTCCTGATTGCAGGAACACAGCCAGATTTTGGTGAATCTCTGGAGTAAGGCGAGCAAAACGTTTGATTTTTAGGAAGAATACCATGAATGAATACCATGAAGCTGGCAACATTGGGGATTCCCTGGCCTGGTCACCAGTGCAGGGATTGGATTAAGTGGCTCAGGACCGACTACCTGGAAGCCAGGGATGAGAACATCTCCTCTGTCATCCTGCCTTGCTTACAAGGGGTTTGTCAAGGTGCTGGATATTGTGCTGAGCATAGAGCCAGCAGTACTTCACAATGCCCTGATCAGCTGGGATGGTGACCTTCTGACCCCGAATCCAGTATAGGACTGGAGGGGAGTCACTAGGTGCTGGATCAGGCTGATGAAGTGACACTGGTGCTGGAACTGGTCCCGGAGGAGGCTTTGCCACTGGAGCAGCTGCAACATATCCTAAGTCCTTCCTCAGAGGAGTTTTTTGATGCCCCCCAAGAAGCAGTCTGCTGCAGAACTGGCAGGAAAACCGGAAGAGACAGAACTCAGCCTGGTAAGCCTTTTGGCTCCATGTTTGTTGTTGTTGTTTTAACATAGGAATGGGAGGAATTTCCATTTATAAGCAATGCAAAAGTTATTACAAGCTAATAAGGGGGGGGATATACCATGGAGTTCTTCAGTATGTCCATATTAATGTGTGCGTTTGCAGCAGTCTTAAAATGCTGTATTTGGAAGCTGTAGGGAGCCAGTGATCCATGTGGATGCTAATGCGGCATCCTATTGATTACCCCCATGAATTTTGTTCCAATCGCGGGTGCTGATAGCTACAAACTTTTCCCATAGCAGGAGTTCCAGATAGGTAGTCATATTTCACAGAAAGCCATATTTTCCAGGGCCATCTTGGTAGGTCACCAGCCGACTCCACTGATAGACGTGTGCTGTTCAGTCATGATAAGTTTTAATACTTCGGTGGTATATATGGCTGGCTTACCACTGGAATCTTGGAATAAAATATCTCTTTACCAGCCTGAGCCTGAAGAATCATTATGTCCTTCAACATCATAGAAAGAAGTTTATGTAATATGTTGCGGCCACCCGCCTGCTGCAAAGCAGTCTACAATTTCTAAACACCATTGTGATTTTTAATTTACTATTCTCCGTGCACTCTTTTCACTGCGATTTAAGCTGGTTGTGTCCATGGAGCTTCTGGGATCTGAAGCATTCCTCTCACAATATACTGAAATTCAGTTTTACAAAGTATCTTTTTTTTTTTTTTTTTTTTTTGTCCTTGGGATTCCACAAGGATTTTTTTTTTTTTTTTTTTGCTCATGCACAGAACTATTTGTGAATCACTGTGACAATAATGTTCTGTTTTATATCTGCTTGCAGGAACTTGTACTTCTACTGGCTGTTGTACCTTGGTAGCTTTCGCTCACTCCACTGGAAGCCTGGGTTTCCATACCATCATACACCAGTCCTAGAGGAAGCATTCCCATGATGAATTTATTGTCGACATTCTGGACAGGGACAACAAATAGGTGCAATACCAAAGAGAGAAGAATTCACTTAAAGTGGAGAGGCAAGTGGAAAGGCACAGGCAGGTTGCAGAGATGAGGACAGAATTACAGCGTGGGAGCAGATACTTACATCGCAGTTCCTGGAAGAGGAACGTTGGTTAGGGGCGGAAGACTTAGTGTAGCAGAACGACCAGTTTGACTAATGGCTGCTTTTGCTAATAGTTGCAAGAGTGCAGGCTCCTGCCATGCTTATACTGTGACCTGAGTCTCCTTCATGGTACCTTTTTCAGAGTAGCAGCCGTGTTAGTCTGTATCCGCAAAAAGAAAAGGAGTACTTGTGGCCGAAGTGAGCTGTAAATTCACGAAAGCTTATGCTCTAATAAATTTGTTAGTCTCCAAGGTGCCACAAGTACTCCTTTTCTTTCTTCATGGTACCGTGTGCTGCATACCAGGGTCTCTTTGAACAATTTCATGATTGGCTGGCCCATGCAACTGGGACTTAATAGCAGCTGTACTGGGCAAATCTACCCCTTTATACTTCCACCCCGTGCAGACCTTCTTCTCCCTCTTGCAGTCCGCCACTCTCCCGCAGGCCTCTATGCCCATGCAGCAATGGCAAGTGAGTGGTAAATGCACAAGAGAGGAAGAAGAAAACTTGCCAGGTGACACACACAATTGGAGGATTTTTCTGACGGCACTGTTTGCATTGTTCAGTGTTGCATGCACTTTGTTTTATTACTGGTTGTGGTATTGGTTTATTACTGTTGTTTCAGTATTCTAATGGTAGCAAGCCTGCCTGGCAATACTTTAATATTGTTATTTTTATAATACAAATAAAGGCTTTTATTTTATTTAAAAAATTATTGCCATCAGTATGTCATACCTTTATAATAGGTATTTTGAATAATAAAGATAAACACACAGTAAGGCACATCAAGCAAGGTGAATCTAAACAGAAATTATTAAAAAAGAACAGGAGTACTTGTGGCACCTTAGAGACTAACAAATTTATTAGAGCATAAGCTTTTGTGGGCTACAGTCCGCTTCATCGGATGCATAGAATGGAACATATAGAAAGAAGAAATATATATATATATATATATACACAGATAAGTTGGAAGTTGCCATACAAACTGTGAGAGGCTAAATAGTTAAGATGAGCTGTTATGAGCAGGAGAAAAAAAAACTTTTGTCGTGATAATCAAGATGGCCAATTTAGACAGTTGACAAGAAGGTGTGAGGATACTTAACTTCAGGGAAATAGATTCAATATGTATAATGACCCAGCCACTCACAGTCTCTATTCAGAGACAAACACCTAAAAGATCTCTATCAAGCATTCTTAAAACTACAATACCCACCTGCTGAAGTGAAAAAACAGATTGATAGAGCCAGAAGTCACCTACTACAGGACAGGTCCAACAAAGAAAATAACAGAACACCATTAGCTGTCACCTTCAGCCCCCAACTAAAACCTTCCAGCACATCATCAAAGATTTACAACCTATCTGGAAAAATGATCCCTCACTCTCACAGGTCTTGGGAGACAGACCAGTCCTCGCTTACAGACAGTCCCTCAACCTGAAGCAAATATTCTCCAGCAACCACACAACAAAAACACTAACCCAGGAACCTATCCTTGCAACAAAGCCCGATGCCAACTCTGTCCACATATTTGGTCAAGTGACACCATCATAGGACATAATCACATTAGCCATGCCATCGGGCTCATTCACCTGCACATCTACCAATGTGATATATGCCATCATGTGCCAGCAGTGCCTCTCTGCCATGTACATTGGCCAAACTGGACAGTCTCTACGCAAAAGAATAAATGGACACAAATCTGACATCAGGAATCATAACATTCAAAAACCAGTAGGAGAACACTTCAACCTCTCTGGCCACTCAGTAAAAAATTTAAGGGTGGCAATTTTGCAACAGAAAAGCCTCAAAAACAGACTCCAAGGAGAAACTTCTGAGCTTGAATTAATATGCAAACTAGATACCATTAACTTGGTTTTGAATAGAGACTGGGAGTGGCTGGGTCATTACACATATTGAATCTATTTCTCCATGTTAAGTATCCTTACACCTTCTTGTCAACTGTCTAAATGGGCCATCTTGATTATCACTACAAAAGTTTTGTTCTGCTGATGATGATAGCTCATCTTAACTAATTTGCCTCTTACAGTTTGTATGGCAACTTCCAACTTATCTGTGTGTGTGCATATATGTATATGTGTGTGTGTGTGTATGTGTATATATATATATATATTCTTACTATATGTTCCATTCTATGCATCCGATGAAGTGGGCTGTAGCCCACGAAAGCTTATGCTCTAATAAATTTCTTAGTCTCTAAGGTGCCACAAGTACTCCTGTTCTTTTTGCAGATACAGACTAACACGGTTGCTACTCTGAAACCAGAAATTAAGAAATCTGTGTATATCAATAATGTAAATGCACAGTTCCCACACCACTACATTAGCAGTCATATTATCCATAACAAAAATCATGACAATCAGTAGCGCGTCCCCCCATTCACTGTATACAGTGACACCACCCTCTATTCCATCGCGTGATGTGACAGTACCTCATTTATGATAAACGTTACTGTACAAATATATTAATATATGTACTCTTCTTCTGTTGGCCCATGCAGGTCCATAAGGTGGGATCACAGAGTGTCCCTGATTTCTGTTGCCTGGCTCCATCCGGCTCAGGTGTTCACTTTCTGGTTGAGTGTACTGGTTCAGCAATCCATTCCCGTCATAAGTCCATTCAGGGTCATATAGCTTACCTTAGGCTTCACAAAGGTTGCGAAGAGCACAGCAAGCCACAATAATGTGGACATCTTTAATGATACTGGAATCTAAAGGGATCTGTGGACAGCACCAGCAGGATTTCAGTCTGCCAAACGCACATTCAACACCATTCTACACCTGTTGAGAGTGTAATTTAAACCTTCTTTTTAAACTATTTTGCACTCTTACATCAGAATATGTTTAAGGCAAAAGGGGTCACGCAGGGTCCCCCAGAATAACAGTGGGAACAATAACACCATTTATGACAATGTCATAGTTTCCCAGCCTGTCCAGGAAGGTAGACTCTCAATCAGCAGAAAACCCTGGCATCGTTAACCTTTCTAGTGCAGCCCATGCCGACATCCATAAGTCGGCCTCTGTGGTCCACAGGGGCCTAATATGTAATAATGGAGTAGTACCCTTTACAGTTTATGTACTCACTTGCTCCTGGAAAGGGGAGGGTGGCAAACTGTGGGCACATGGGTCCCATCAGTGACCCCAGTGCAGTTTGAAAAGCGTATTCTCTCAAAACCAGCAGTTACTTTAGGAATATTGTTTATTTCCACCACCATTGGGTAAATAATGCACCTGATTGCCTCAGAAACCTTGGCCACCCATAGTTGACTTTCCAGCACCATAATGGTTCGCAACAGACCTATAGCACTTAGGTAGCCAGCTTGCAGATGATTATAACAATCTGCTTCTGGACTGATATGGCATCCTCATGTGTGTTGTGAGGCTGGAGGGTTGGGGCAAGCTGCCTACAATGCTCCAGAAATGCAGGTTTCTTCATGTGAAAGTTCTGGACCCACTGCTGGTCATCCCAGGTCCACATGGCGAAGTGATCCCACCAGTCTGTGCTTGTGGCCCTACTCCACAAGCACCCATCTACAAAGGGGTCATAAGCAGCTATACCAAGAGTAATGAGTAGCATCAGCCAATTTGATTCTTCCTCGTCTGTATCGTCATTGTCCTGCTCCATCATTTTTTCTGTCAGGTGCCAGTGGTGAGTCAGGAAACATCCACCATGGAATCTTTGCTTGTTTCCTGAAACAAGAGCAAAAGCCCAAGCAAGAGAAGTTCATCAAATGGTGACTCAAATGGGAGCATGCAGAGCAAAATGATGGTTCAGCAGAATGTGTTGGTGGGCTGCAACAACTTCCTGTGATAGGTGTGGTGGCAGTCAAGTTTTCCCTTACTGCACCATGAACAAAGGGCTAGAACAACCACTTTTCAGGAGGGCGATAGAAAGTTGTGGACATTGGAGTCCCAGGGTGGAGCCTGGGCTCAAAAATTCTTAAGCTAGGGTCACTAATGTGTGGATGCTCAAGCCCTGGGCTTTCAAACCCAGAGTCCATGGATTCAAGTCCCACTAATCCTGGGCTTACATTGCAGTGTAGATATACCCTTAAGCTGAAGGGCTATAAAATTGCAGTGTAGATGTTTGTCTTGGGCTGGAGCTTAGACTCTGAGACCTGAATGTCTACACTGCTGTTTTTAGTCCTGGAGCCCAAGTCAGCTGACACGGGTCTGAGACTCAGTGCTATGGGTTTTTTATCACAATGTAGACATAACCTGAGGGGGCACCACTTTTTCTTCTTACTCTTACAACAGCTTCATACTACTAAAGTAATAGGAAAGAGAAACAAAACCAAAGCATTATTTCCAGATGTTTTAAAATTATAGTGTAACTTTAATTTTAGTAGTAAGCACATTAATTTACTGATTTTTTTTTTAAACTAGTACTCTTGATTTTAAAATACCTGGAGATTTTTGGAAAGGATGAAAGCCTAGTTTGCAGGTCCTGTCACAATGAAATGAAATTGCTTTTTATTTTATACTGTGAAATGGTCATCTCTGAACTTCCTTTAATGGTTGATTCTCAAACTTAAAAAATAAAAAGCTGCAACTTTCAGTAAATATATAATCATGGTGATTCAAGTATGCTTTTTAAGACTTTCTCCTCTGTATTATGTAGATAAAATACTTTGCACGGAAACTGACATACTTGAAAATACACCTCTTTGTTCATAAATTGCTAGCCTTTCTCTGCTTTTACACAGTTTGCGTATGATAACATAGCTACAATTTTTTGTTTTGATTTGGTGTGTTTTTTTCCTCAAAATGATCAAAGATCATATATTTTAGCATTGGCCGAATTCTTTTGTAAATGGATTTATGAATAACCAGTATAGTGGCCCAGATCCTCTGCTGTGCTAAATTCATCTTGCTGCAGCAAAAAGGGCTTGTAAATAGCTAGTTATGGTTCCTCGGTTCCAATGGCGGATCTGTATTAGTCCCAGTTTAGCCTGGGTAATACACGAACCTACATCAGCTGGCAGTGGTCCCTAATGCCAGCTGGGGATTGCCAGGGTGCAGCATGACCTCCTCTCCAACCTCAGCATGGCCCCTGTACCCCAGCCAGGTGGAAGAATTCATGTTAATCATAAACTTTGCAAAAGTTTTTCTTTATGACGTTGTCTACACAGGGGAATGTCTGTGGCAGAATAACTGTTCTGGTATAATGCAGAGCGGAGAAAATATTTCAGCATAGTGTCCACCCAGAGAAGCTATACTAGAATAGCTCTAGTGAAATAGTTCAATGTGCTCATATAGGCGTGGCCTACTTCTTGTTAAGGAATAATATGCCTGACACTGACACATGCTGCATTTGGAGATATTCTGCTGTACTTACCACATAATTCAGATGTGATAACCATTTTTTACTCAAACCAGTGTCTTTACATGGCTTTTATAGTGTAGTCTCTGTTTGTTTTAGTGCTAGTGATGCGCTTAAAGGAGAAGGGTTACAAGAAGGTGTAGATTGGCTCCAAGGTAGGTCAAATCTACTTCTATTATAATTTTATTTTCTTTCCGTTAGACTTTGTTTTCATTTTGTAAGTTTTCTTTCATTTCATTTGCCTTGTTTCTATCTATTTCTGCTCTCAGATCAAATCACACAGTGAGTACCAGTACCAAACCTGATATTTTATGCCTTGGTGTTTTGTTTTTTTATTATGATTTTCTGCAGCTAGGGCCGTTCCAGCAGCGGTGATATTTCTTTTTAAAAATTTACATAAACCCAAAATTACGGAATATTCTTTGGAGAAAAGATAAACTATTACTAAAAATTAATGTGTACTATTGGAAGTGGGACTTGCAGTCTAAGAATCTCTTGCTTAGGGTAAGAGGACAATGTGCTCTTGAATCTTTCTTATGTTGCACATGGTAACTTAATTATTTTCCTAGTTACCTTAGCTGTTATGCTCCAATGATCCATATTTCTTTTTTTTCTCCATATTTTATTATCCCTTTCAAATGTTGAGTAAACAGGCCGAGCAATATATGAAGGTTTCCAGAAGAACTGGGAGTCCTGGTCCAGGTTAATCTTACGAGAGCACTATTGAACACTCTTGAACACCAAATATTTCCTAACTGCATCATATATGACTCTGTCCTCCACTCAAGCTGTGACATTTAGGGGTGATTGTGTTTCCACTGAAGAGAATGGCAGTCTTGCCATTGATTTAAACAGAAGGATTGGAATATCCAATCCATTCAGGAATATCCAATTTTTATGGATGTCTGGAGGCGAGAGAAGGCTATTAAAATGTATTGTATGGTGTCATATACATTTATAATGATATGGAAGCTGAAGACATCTTAGGCCCTGGCTTCTGCATTTGTTGTTGGAGCTGTAGAACAGGTTTTTTATGAACACTCTGAGTTGTAAAGGGACTCTGTCAATTTAAAATCTAGTCACTTTCAAAAAAGGAATTAAAAGTACAGGTGGCCAACACAGGGGTTTCCAGTTAATAGTAAAGTTCATGGTTTTGATATTTGGGTTCATTCCAAATTGGAATGATTCCAAGTTTTTCAACATTTTCTATGAACTGGGAATCCTGAAAAAAAATTAACGAAATATCAATGTCAATTTTACTCTGCAGCTGCCAGGTCTCTCCCCAGGGTCTACAACTCTCTAGCAGCCCCCCAGGAGTTCAGAAGCCCTGGGGGTTCTTGCCAAGGGAAGTCCACATGGCACATCTGCCCTTGAGCAGCCCATTAAAGGACTTCCTGGCTCCTTGGCAAATATCTTAGAAATTCTAAGGTATGTCTGCACTGTGATTAAAACCCCTGTGGCACCAAGTCTCAGAGCCTGGGTCAGCTGACTATAAAATTGTAGTGTAGACATTCAGGCTCAGGCTGGAAGCTGCCTCTGAGACCCACTCCCCTCGCAAGGGCGTCTTTTATTGCAGTATAAACATATCCTGAGAGTGATACTTCCTAAAGTACCTATCTGTTTGGGGTGTTGTGAGGATTAATTATTTAATTTATTTATTAAAGTTTGTGCAATCCTTAGAAGCTGTTAAGCACTGTAACTAAAATAATATTAAATCCTTCTGAGACTAATTATTAAAAGAAGTGCACTACTTGTTTGGGACCAGGATTAAAGAACGGAAGACAAAGTGATACATTTACATTATACCGATAATACCACATGCAGCAGTCTCATAATTATATAAACAGTATGAGATGTTTATGTAATGATTTTAATCTCTTTCATGCAGAGTCTGTGTACTACTGTGAGTTTGTATAGTGCTTAGTACAATGAGGCCCTGATTTTGTTTGAGTCCTTGAGAGCTATTGCTAAACAAATAATAACAACAAATCCTGCATTTAGGTTGGTAGGATCACTTTAATTTCCCTCACTCTAATGTACATTCTGAAATTAGTAGTTCATTAATTATTATAACATAACTTAAAATAATTTGGTTTAAATCTAATTGGGAACAAAAGTCAATATTTGTGTAAGGCCTTCTATAAGAAGCCATGTAATTTGCTCCCCCCCACACATTTTGGTGTTCTGTTCTGAGCAAGCCACTAGATGTCAGTAATGATCCAAAGTACATTACAGCTAAAGTAAATGTTTTGTCTTATTTCAAATGGCAGTAAAGAATTACTTTTAATCAGGTACTATATTTTGTATTATCTCCATTTATTCACGAGTAGTAGAGTAGTCTTTCTATTCAGTCTAATCTAGTGACTGGAGTGACATAGGGTTTTTTTAATTACTTTTGTGTCTCCTGTGTGTTGATGATGAGAATGTGAGTGAAGGAATTACTTACCTATCATTATGCAGTAGCATTTTGAGGAAGGGGGAACAAGTCCCCAAAAATAACGTTTATGGGAGGGTGTTCTGTTCTCCCACAAAAGGACAGGATGCACCTTACCCTTCCCACAGGTTTTTTTGGGAGGGAGCTCTTCTTCTCCCACATCCTATCACAAAGGGTAGCTTGCAGCTCAGCTGTTTTTCCTGAGTTCCTGACCTGACCTGACCTGAAAGTCTCCTTATTGTCTCAACTTCTTTTGATTCCTCTTGTCTTCATGAGGAATCCTGCAGGTGGCAACAGCCCAGATTTGGAAGTATTGCTCCAGGTGCACACTTTCAGGCTGTTGTTTACATGAATCTGAAATGCCAGCCAGAGATGCTTTCCTGGCAAAACCCATTCTGGATCAAAATTAAAGATTAAAAATGGACCCAGTCACCTCTTGGACCAGGGGTTAGAAGATGCATTTAAAATAACACATTTAATTGAAAAGATGATAAATCATTATTGCAGTTACTTCTGCTGCAGTTAATTTTGCAAAAATTTCTATTATAGACCCTCGCTTTTTTCAGATTATCAGAAAATTAGGAAATACTGATAATTCTTGTTAACTTCTGGAAATGTGCTGGAAATGGCCCACCTTGATTATCACTTCAAAAGGTTTTCTCTCCTCCCACCCCACTCTCCTGCTGGTAATAGCTCATCTTAAGTGATCGCTCTCCTTACAATGTATATTTTTTCATGGTCTGTGTATATATATAAAATCTCCTCACTGTACTTTCCACTGAATGCATCCGATGAAGTGAGCTGTAGCTCAGGAAAGCTTATGCTCAAATAAATTGGTTAGTCTCTAAGGTGCCACAAGTACTCCTTTTCTTTTTGCGAATACAGACTTACACGGCTGCTACTCTGAAACCTGTCATTGAGGAATAGGTTATTGTCATCTGCCCAGAAAAATATTTATTTTATTTTATTAAAGTTATAACTGGAACATATACTTTGCACCCACATTCCATTTCTGCATGAGTTAATTAAGTACACATTGAAACGTTGCTAAGAAATGCCATTGGGCAACAGTGGGAAGTGGCATTGGGCAACAGAAATATGGTCAGCAGTGGGAAGCTGCGTTTTCATGTGAACTGCATTAATACCTCTGTAAGACTGAAGTTGAGTCCTATAGTTTATAAACTGTTCAGGATCTAAGCTTTTATGGAATTCAATTACATAGAGGTCCAGAACTTGAGTATAGCCAGAGTTGGAATGCATACTCATGTAACTTCCTGTCTATGTTGTTACCCTGATCCAGGCAGTCATATAAGGTGTGGAAAAGAATAAAATAATTTTGTGGTAGTTTCTTTCTGTTTAAATGGCAGTTCTGGCAGAAATTGTTTAATCAGAGAGGAATCTCAGAAGTAGACCCGCTAGGGTGCAAGTTGAAGATGCAAACTGCAATTTTCTCCTGGTTACAGATGCAACAAATGATATTGTAATTTTGTAACCTAAATATATTGGTTTTCTTTTGGGGGTGACAGTTCCACTAAGTGCGGTGTACTAAAGTTAGTATTTTTCTTTTTGTTACCAGATCAGATCCAAGCAATGAAGACATGAGAGGCCAGTAAGATAAAAGACCTGTCATACATTAACTTTGGCAGTGGATGTACAAGCCCCTGGAACAGGAAGGAAGACCTAAAACAAACAAACAAACAAAACCTATATACAGTGCATTCTGTTGGTTCCTTTCATTATCTTTTACAAGGGCCCAAGATGAGTAAGCTTTTTAGAAAATGTAGTGCATCAGATATGTACATACATGAATTAAATTAAATCTTTGCTAAGTCTGGAGAAAATACTAAAATTAAAATAAGCATCTGCAGTCATTTAAGTTTTATTGTGAAATACAATTTAAGCTTATAATACATCATTTAAATATCCAGTTTTTCGAAGTTACTAATGATTTCTGTGTGCCTGCATAATTTTTTGCATGTCCAAACTTAAGATACCTTTTAAAGAAGACTTTTTCAGAATGTGGATGTGCAGCAGTTCTTGAAAAGTAGGTCCCCATAAGGTGTCTCAAGAAGGGCACTCAAAATCAGTAGTCACTTCTGAAAATCTTGTCTCCTGGTTTTAGCTTTTCAGAGTATTTTTGTAACATTGCAGGTTAAAATGTGATATGTGTTTGTTATAAATGATTGCAGATGTTTTTAAGGAATTGCTCATAATGTAATGTATGGTTATGTTGTAATGTAACAGCTGTACACACATTTCTATCAATAAAATATAAGATACACAACATGTTGTTTTTAAGCTGAATTGTGTTTCAGTCATTGCCTCTTGATGGTTCTCAGTTTTGAATTGTTAACATTTAATCTAAAATTTCCTTTTAATTTTTTGTCTAATTCACTGAGAATAAGAGAACGGAATGCGGTAATAGAATCGAACTTCCTTTGCATAAAACTGTGTTAGAATTACTTCTCTTTGGTAAACTTTCATATAAGTTACACCTTTATGCCTGGCACTTCAAAAAAACTACCATTTAAACTTGCATTTTGAAAATGAAGTTTGTCCACTCTACTAGAACATTATCCTCTTCCTATTGTCATATAAAGTATCTTTTTACGTATCTAATGTGGTAGACTAAACTGTTTAGCATCAAATCCTTGCAGCAAACTAGCTGGATGGAAAAACATCCCAGATAGCAATTTAAGTTGATCTGCTCATGCCTGGGAAATAGATTTTATAATTCTGCTAGGTTTTTCTCTGCAGGAATAAAAAATCCAGAATTGTGGATTGAGGGCACAATATTTAGTACTATTGGAATGTATTGGATATAGTAATGGAGTGAATGGCTAAATTATGAGGGAATGTCAGCACTGAATTCTTACGACATTTTCCCTGCCCGCTCTCGTTTTCATTTAAAATAATATGAAAAACCTATTGAAAGTGCTTCTCTGGGAGATGCGAAGTCACCCTTTACAGAGAAATTTTTGGAGCAAAGAGAACTGCATGATATAGTGGAATAGCTTCATATATTTTCAGTTAATTAAATAGTTATGTGGAAACTAGTACTAGCTCAACCCGTTCATTACAGGCAACTAAATATTCATATAAAAATGTTCTTACTACGAGTCAAAGCTGAAGAATATTTACTCCTGATACTGCCTCTTCTCCAGACAGTACCTATCCTTCATGTCTTGTCTCCATGGCATCAGATGTTACTGAGGGTATGTCTACACTGCAATAAAAATTCATGACACCGAGTCTCAGAGATTGGGTCAGCTGAGTTGGGCTTGTGGGAATTGTGCTGCAGAGCTAAAAATGGCAGTGTAGATGTTTTGGCACAGGCTAGAGCCTGGGCTCTGAGACCTTCCCAGCTATGAATATTATCCACTGTATATTACTAACTTGTTTTGGATCTAGGTAATATATGAATAAAAAAGAAAAACACTCAGCGGGGATGTAATTTTTTTGGATTAACTATTTTTTAAATAAAATAGTCTCGATAGGCTGAAGTTTTGTAGTTGTAACTAAACATAACATTAAGGGTAAAGTTGTACCTAATGCTGAAAGAAAGTTTAAGACCCCGTATCATATGGCTTAACTAGGTATGTGACTTTCTTGCTTAAAATGTGTCTGAGTTTAGACCTTGATGTTCCCCTTCTTGGATAATGACTACTCCTTAAAGTGCTAAAGTTTACTTTCTGTACTTAGAACTGCATCTTCTCTGTTGTGGGAATCTGCTGCTCATCAGGCTTGGAATTGCTGATTCCCCCCCCCCCCCCCCCAAACTCTCAAAGAAAGGCAAACTGTTACTGCTTTCACTTGCTCCAGTGCAGTTTGCCTTGTGAACTGCATTGATACTGCTCCCCAGTCTTCTGCCTTTATGCTCAGATGCAGATGTTTTTTGCAGCAGCACATTAAGGGCTCTTTTCTTTTAACATTTCTTGATATCTTTTCCTCCTTCCATCTTGGTCTTAATCTGTAGTGAGAGGTTTTCAGGAAAGGAAGAGCGGGGACTCCCATTTCCTAGTGATTTATTCCCCAAACATTTCAACCATTGAGAGGCCCATTTGGCAATGTCTAAAGACTTCTATTATTGTGTTTGGATGTGAGCTGCACAACTCCAGAAAGAATTAATGCCAGTATGGTAGGGTTAGGAATGACTGCATTAAAATACCTCCTAAGAGTGTATTAAATTAGTTTTTTATTTGGATGGTCTGTCCCTCTTTCTCCAATCTTCTAAAATTTTGGCCTCTTGTAGGCTGCCATCCTACTGAAGACAATAGTACATGTGTATATGACTTTAGAGAGTTAATCCTTTTATGAAAGCTGTTTCTGTTTTCTAATGGCTTTTACATTAGTTTGTCAGTTCTGTATAAATACACTCTAGTTACAAAAATGGTAAAATAATGTATAATTTTTAATGATGATGATTATTTGTTATTGCCATAGGAAAAGAACAAGTGAGCACAAAGTGGCAGCCTCATACTTCTTTTATTTTTTTTATCATCTAGAATTTAAGAAATTCATTACTTTGAGCAGATGTGTGTTAAGAATAAATGTAAATGACTTTGTTTACTATAACTAACAAGCAACGTGGAAATGCTGATGACAGATTCTAGGCTGGCTATCTTGAAGCAAAAGTCAACTGTTAAATGCACTAATATGTCTTCTTAGAAAAAATCACTAGGGCACTGACCAATAAATTACATATTCATTTCCAGCAGGCTTTAATTCCTGGAATGTTTTAATTGCTAAATGGACTAGAGATTTATAGGGGGGATGAAGGTGTCCTACTCTCTGCACTCCATTGAGAATGAGCACATAGTGAGATATGAAGTGAGTGGTAAGTTATCATATTCTGCTCTATTCACAGGTGTAAATCCAGAATAATTAACTGAAGGGGCTGCTTAAGATTTATACTGTTGCAACAGAGCAAAATTTGTCCCAAGGACTGTAAATCACACCATTCTTTCCTGTGTCTATGCAAAATGCTGCTGTTGTACTCTTCTCCAAAGGTTGATGGCCTGTCAGTCTTTTACTGCTGTCAGAACACTAACAACATTACTTTATAATGCCAAATAATTAGAATAATGTGTTGTACCGTGAAACTCTTAGTGTGTGTGTGTTTAATGCTTGTGAAAGAATTCAGACTAGCAGGAGGTAACACGCATGTATCAGAGAGATTAAAAAAAAACCAACCTGTTTTAAAATGTTGATATATCCCAATTTTTATTGAAAATCCTGCATTTTGACTGATTTTTAGCCATTAGTTGTAGAGGTGCATTGATCTGCTTGGGGGCCTGGATCAACATTCAGTGCCCAGGCCAGGGAAGCTAATGATCCAACCAGCGGACCAAATTCCTTGATGAATCCTAGTCACATGCTATCTGAGGCATGTTGCGCATATACTAAGAAGATTCATCTGCTATGTAATATAGTAGGCCTGATTGGGGGTGTTGTGCATAGATATTATTATGGCTACTGCCTAATCTTAATACAGGACTTCTTCTTAATGGTATCTTATAACTAATGCCAATTGTGGTGGTGGTTTTAACACTATTCTATACCCTTAATATGATGTGAGGCTGTGTAGTACATGTCATGGTAATTTATTTCATGGAAGCATCTGCAGTGATACAAACTAGTGCTTTATAATTAATTTACCAATGTTCAGCCAATTAGATTACTATTCATATCCACATGAACTTCTCTAGAGAGCAAGTCCTTAGTTTGGTAGAATGGTTCTGTAGGAACAGATAATTCTAGATGAGCTGTTGCTGGCATCCCACTATAAGATTGAGCTAGGTTTGCTTTATTTCACTTTTCTAATGAAGGTGTTTCCCATGCTATACTAATTTGATACCCATAAATGCCACTGTTCTAAATATTTTTTTACAAAATTATTAATTAAATGAAAGTTATAATACCAATAATTTATAATACCTGTGACTTGAAGGTCTTAGTGTTTTATGAACTATCTATTAAATGTAAACACTCCTATGAGATATACATTATCCCAATTTTACTGAAAGGAACACTGACGCATAGAGAGGCTAAGTAATTTCCCCTGTGACATGCAATGGGCACCTCTGAAAATCAGGCCAAGCTTATTTAGGAACCTAAATATGTATTTAACAGCCTAATTTTAGGCATCTAGATTTGAAAATAGCTTTGAAGAGTAGTAACTACCATATAGGCTCAGCAAGACGGTGACTGGGCAAAATATTATTTGGCCATCTTAAACTACTGTCTCTGCCAAAGGCTGTCATCAGTTTAGCCTTAGTAAAGGGAAAGAAGGACATTGGGGAATGTGGGGAAGGCACCAAGATAGAGTACATGGGGAAGGAGAGGGAAGAATAAGATGTGTGTTTGGGGTGGAATAGAGTAAAGTTCTAATGAGCTCAGAATAGCAACAAAAGCAAATGATTGAGCTAGATGATTGGGCAGGATACAGATGAAATTTAAAAGGAAAAACTGTATCTAAAAAAGGAAATGGATAGATAATAAAATGGAAAATATCATAATGCCACTATATAAATCCATGATACGCCCACACCTTGAATACTGCATGAAGTTCTGATTGCCCCATCTCAAAAATGATATATTAGAAAAGGTACGGAGAAGGGCAATGAAAATGATTAGGGGTCTGAAATAGCTACTATATGAGGAGAGATTAAAAAGATTGGGACTTTTCAGCTTGGAAAAGAGATAACTAAAGGGGAATATGATAAAGGTCTATAACATCATGAATGGTGTGGAGAAAGTGAATAAGGAAGTGTTATTTATCCCTTCACATAACACAACAACGAGGGATCACCCAATTAATAGGCAGCAGGTTTAAAACAAACAAAAGAAAGTACTTTTTCACACAATGCACAGTCAACCTATGAAACTCGTTGCCAAGGGATATTGTGAAGACCATAACTATAACTGGGTAAAAAAAAATTTAGATAAGTTCATGGAGAATAGATTCATCAATGGCTATTAGCCAAGATGGTCAGGGATGCATGCGCTTGATGTCCCTAAACCTCTGACTGCTAGATGCTCAGACTGGATGACAGGGGATAGATCACTTGATGTTTGCTCTGTTCCGTTAATTCCTTTGGAAACAGCTGGCATTGGCCACTGTTGGAAGACAGGATACTGGACTAGATAGACCATTGTTCTGACCCAGCCATTCTTATAAACCAGTAGAGCCATTATTTTGCACTTTATAACAGTACAGTAAAACTACAGAGTTACAAACTACAGAGTTACGAACTGACCGGTCAACCACACATTTCATTGGAACT